TACAGGGCTTAGTAGTCCAGCAGAACTCAATATAGAGAGAGTCATGTCCCACTCGTATCTGTGAGTGGAATGTTTTTATTTTTCTTTTCTTTTTTTAAGTGCAGTCTCCAGAGCTCTGGGATGAGATAGCTTTATCAACTTCCTGTTCCCAGGATAGCTATATCTGTCATGGTGCATAACAAACCATCGTAAAACTTAGAGCTTAAAGTGACATTCATTTCCCACTTCTCCTGAGTTTATGGGTTGGCTAAGTGGTTCTATGGTGAGGGAAAGGCTTAGCTGGATTCGGCTGCCTGCACCTGGTACCCACTGGTGGGACGAATAAGATGATACCACTCTCCACGCGTCTCCCACATCTGCCAGCAGGCCAGTCTCCATGGCATTTAAAGAGATGCAAAAGGAAGAGATGAAAATGTGCCTCTGACTGTGTTTGGGAAGCACCTTTAGGTCACTACGGCATTAACCAAAACAAATTACATGGCCAAGCTCAAAGTCAACTCAGGAAGGCAACACCATAGAACAGGAAGACATGAAAACATGGGTCTATTAATACAACCCATCTACTGAATGGGCCTGGCCTAATGCCGTAGTCACAAATAATTTTTAAACATAGTGCAGTAGTAGGGAAAAAGTTGAAAATGTTGAGGACAAGAGTGTATACTTAATAAATAAATATTTGATCAATGAATAAAGTGAGTTCAACTGCTGAAGACATGCCCACTATAATAGCTTGAATACACACCTTAACAGAAATATCAAGTTTTTTTCCTAAGAAAAAGCAAAAGATTAAAATGTAAAAGGCTGTATATGAATCTTCATAACATTAAATCCATCACTTGACAAGGGTAAATAATAAGCATACCAATGAATCTGTATAACATTCTCTCACACAATATCAAAGTTCAGAAGTGATCAGCAGTCAAATTCTCCCCCTCCCGTTATGTTTCTGCTGTGTTCTAGTTCACTCCAGCTTTGGCGTTGTGATGTGGGTGATTAGATGGAGAGGATGAAAGTGGCCTTCTTTGGACAATTTTTCCAAATATGATTGTGTGGTGGTGAAAAATCAGAAATTTCCAGGGTGAAAACAGCTCAAGTACTGTTCCTCACTCCAAATTTCCCAGGAAATAGCTTGAGGAGCAGAGAAGAAGTTTTGTGACATTTATGAAGATACCTGCAAACACTTTTTTATTTTAATGTAAAAGTAATGATGTTGCTCCCTCACTTTCTTGCTCCCTCCTCCAATATGTTTTCATTATTCTAACCTATGGAGCAGAACCTATTTGATAAAATATTATTACCAAGGATCATAAATATTCATTCCCAAGGTAACATGTTGTTTTTATTATGACATTAAACATGCAATTATTAAAATGGTGTGCTTGGAATCAAGTATCAAGACAAAGGTGAAAGAGGTGAGTTTGAAATAAGGTGTCCTCAAACAATCTCAATACTGGGGTAATACAGGTACTGTTAATGTTGCTGAGTTCACTGGTTAAGTACCTGATGGTCATTGTGACACTTGAACTATTTTAAAAGGATGCTAACAGATTTGAAGAAAATTGGTTTTCTTAGAATTTAGATGATACAAGATAGAAGCGTAGACTTTACTTTCACTCTGTTTTTAAAGATATTTTCTGTATAAGGCCACAGAATCACACATCGTACATTTTATTTCACAGAAAATAATTGAGGAAGTCATTTGATGGTTATTGGCTAATTGTTCTTTGAAGAGTAAATGAACAATGCTAGAACTAGTTGCAATGGTGGAAAAGTCTTGCATTTACTATATTCTTTACAGAATAAATAGATGCATTGAGGAGCATAGAATATTTCTTGCTTGAGAGAACAAGGGAGTTTCTTGGAGCTTGTTTAAGGGTTGATATGACATCATTCTGTAATGTGGCTAGAAAAGGTGTGTGTTCATGTGTAAATACCGAATAGTTTCTCTGGTGTGAAAAACTATAACAGTACATAAGATCCTAATGACATATTTGACAATGTGAAATAGGAAGAAAAAGGCTAAAGATGTGGAGAAAGTGGGATGAGTAGAGGACAGGTAATATGGGAAAAGAAAAAAATGAGAAAAACAAAAAAAATGGAAAAAAGTGTTTGTAAGTGGGGAGGGTGAAGGGAGGGCAGGGACAAGGGGAAAAAATGAGAACCAAGACCTGTCATGTAAAGGTACAAGATCCCAACGATGAATGAAACTGTACTGAATACCTAAAATGTACCAATAAACTCAATAAAAAAAAAAAGAAAAAAGAAAAGATGTGTGCAATGCATGTGTGAGTGGAGAGAGATGAATTCAGATTGGGTGGGTGAGGAGGCAGGGTGGGTCTAGAAATCGAACATTGTTATCAATAATATTAATATTGTTCTTTAGATAGTGGGTAGTAGTCCCATATTTACACGCAAAAACATTTCACAAGATTAATCCACGTAGAAAAGATCTTAAGGGTAAAGAACAATAATAGGAAAATTAAAAATTTAGCTGTTAAGGAAAGAGTGATGTTGTAAGGGAGAGAGGGAAGCTTCCCAGAGGAGTAAGGAGAAAATCCATAAAATGTATCAACAGCTTGGGTGTGGGAGCAAATGAGATGCAGCAAAACAAGATCCCCCAAGGTTCTGCACTTGTTATGAACTATTCAAACAAGCAGGGAGAACGGAAGGGGCTACGAACCTGATTTTGTTTGTTGTCATTGTTGTCAATTACATACAATGTCAAGTGAAGGTAAAGTTAGAGATTTGAGAATTATATGTAGGGAAGTATAAACTGAAGGTGTGTGACTGAAGGAAACAGCTAAGGGAGAACATATAGAAAATCTTTCTGTGCAGATGATGAGATAGGTTTATTTTCCCTTTTGAACTGCTTTGAGGGAAGTTCATTTTTAAATTTAAAAACCAGCTGGGTGTGGTGGGCACGCCTGTCACCCCAGTACTCAGAAGGTTGAGGCAGGTGGTCCCTGCAAGTTGGAGACCAGCCACGTAGTGAGCTCAAGGCCAGCATGAACTACATAGCAAAGCACAGTCTCAACAAATAAACGAACAAATCTGAAACCCAGTTGCAGAACCCTTCCTTATTTTAGCTTTTCTAATGAAACTATTCTTTTGTGCTCCCTTCTTTGAGGCTTGTAGTTTGAAGACCTTGCATATTTTCATACTGCTTTATGATATTTCATGGATTCTCAGATACACATGTTTTTTATATTTTTATCATCTCTGAAATTGAGATTACCTTAATCATTGGAAAGTGTGTCAATTGTTTAATTGGCAACAAATTTTCACTCTGTGAGGTATAAAAATAATGGTGCATGTTATAAGCCGCGGTGTCTTACATTTCATAAAATATGGTACTTGCTGATGTGCTGTACTACCTTGGCAGATGGGCTTCTTTCTCATGAAGCCTTTTATCCCTCCAAAAAGGTATGAACAAGTGATGTGGGTATCACAGTTAGCGATAAGCATTGAATATCCTCTCTGGGCTGAGAGGAAGAATAAAGGTAATAATTGCCCTGGTTTCCCAATTAGAAGAAGTCCTGGGTTGTGTGAGAAGAAAAGTATAGTAGCAACCCAGACAGCCTTGGGGCCCAGTGTAAACAGGCTTGCTCCTTTCTTCTGGGGACATAGTTCTAGAGTACACCATGCCTCTTGGGTTTTGAAGTCTCTGTGGTATCAAATATATGATGTTAGTAGTTGATCGTCCAAGAGGTGCTCTGATCGGTGGATCTGCACTAGCACCTCCAGTTCTTCCACAACCTCCAAGATCCAGAATTTCTGCAAATCTCCGAAGAATGGCAGAATAAACTGAGCCCAGAATGAGAACTTGGCTGAGCAGGGTCCTTGACCTTGAACGCCTGCGTGGAAAGGCATACTTTGCACAGCTGGACTAGGCTAGCAGCAGAAGGCCAGATGCTGCTCCCAACTGCCGGGAGGATACACGAACTTCCCTTTGCAGCCAGAAGCTATTTGGGCAAACATGTGAGAGCCCTCCTGAATGAGAAAGGACCTCTAAAAGGGAATTTGACATTAAAGTAATTGAATATGTCCCTGAAATAATGTTTTCTTCTTTAAAAGCTGGAAGAGACGGAGTTACTTTAACTAGCAAGACTTTTTCTTTTTTAATAGTAAGTAATAATGGAGGATTTAGGTGCAACTTGAACATATAATAGCAAGTAAAACACACCTTTACTACAGATTGTGCCACATGTATCTTAATCCTACTACAATGACTCTTTTGGAAGAGTTATCATGTCTCAAATACTGAAGGTAATCGGGGCTAAAGAAAAATATTGGTTTATTATATAACACTGGAAAATACAACTACTTATGGTGGCGTAAAGAGATGAAAAACTGGAGAGAAAATTGCCAGGAAAATGCCAAACTAGTAGTACTTCTCAAAAGCAGAGGCAAGTGATGAATTTAGTCATATCATAAGTTACAGAATGGCCAGGTCAGCTGAGCTCTCAGAAGAGGCCATTTGACATGATGAAGAGTAGCCATTCAGACTTTTTAAAAACTGACAATCCAAATGTAGCAACATTTTGCTAAGCTTGCGTTTTCATGGGATGTAGTACTAAAAGATACATAACCATTACTTTACAGACAAGAAAAGTAGGATATCTGAGAAATTTTACAAATAAATATGAGGAAAAGAAAAACAAGGCCATCACATTTGAAAGATAAATAGGACCTATGTGTTTTGTATCATTTGGGAGAAAACACAGCTGGAGCATGAAATAAGCACCTTTTGAAAATAATGAAGAGATCACTTATGTAAAAGGCACAAAGCTTCTGAGCAAACATGGGAGCAAATACTCTTGACGAATGTTAAGTGTATTTTCATTTTTTTATTAGAGAACTTGGAAGTTGAATTTCAATATTGATGGTATCATAATTTCTCTGCTTTGTTCAGAGGAACACACGAATCAATTTGTACAAGCATATACAACAATTCAGTTGGCATTTCGTGTCCTAAAATCAGTAATCTGATTAGTTCTAGGCTACCAGGCCTCCATGCGCTGCTCCCAGCTCCTGGCTTTGGCGGCATGGCTCAGTTCCCAGCATGATACTTCTTCATGCACTGTCTGCAACAGGACAATAGCAGGCTTAAAGACCATGCAGATTAACACTGGAGCAAATTGTTTGGATATTTAGTAGACATAAAAAGATTATTTCTTGATATGAAATTCTGAAAATCTGCATAAATATTTTTTTGTGTAAAATTAAATTAGTTATGTATTTTTTTAAACTAGAACTTGAAGTATCAAGAATGCCCACATAATTCATATACACACACACACACACACACACACATATATATATATATATATATATGTATATATAAAGACATTTTCATTATGCTAAAAGTCTGGATAGTTCAAATTATATTCTGTGCCATACATTTCTTTAACCGGTATGTATTTGGCATTAGGTTAACTGTCTGAACGGATTAGTCTTAACTGGTGTGTGTGTCATGCAAAACATAATTCTAATATTCCTGTTAACTAATCTTTGTCATGTGGCAATACTTAGATGATTTTGCTCTATAACAGTGTGAGTTAAGGAGTATAAATACTTTATACATGGTCACATTTACAAACATTTGCCAATAACCACAATCTTTATGGTGTAGTAGTGAATTATAATATCTGGAATATTCAGAATAAGCAATTGCTATAAAGCAGTGTCAGATGTAAACTTTCTTAAATGACCCTAACAGAGTTCCCCTTTGAGCGCTGATCAGTTTTGGCACAGGTACACTTTTCTATGGTATTTCTTTATTGTTGTACTAATTTCCACAAATTTTACAGGAAATTAGTTTGCTATGGCATGGTAAAGACATGGCACTTATTGATGAGGTAACTTAGATGTAGAAAAATTTTGCAAGATTATTTGTCCCACAGACCACCACTTCTGCTAAGGAATCTGACAGAGTTTTGCTTTTTTCCTCTAGTGCATGCACTTGCTATTAAATTGCTAATGCACTATTTTTGCAGCAGCTTAAACATGTTCTAATGCATCACAAAGCAGAGTTGTTAACACCAAGCTCATTTTCCTGTGATGGTTTCTTATAACATGTTTAAGTTGTATTGTCAATGGTTAAACTCTGCCTTACTGGTGTAAATTTGCACCTACTTTTGTTTGGCCAAGGAAATTTAATACTCAAAATGTTGAATCAAAGTATATAAATCATCCCCAGTCTCTGTGGTTTCAGGTAACATCTTGTATATGCATGAAGGAAACACAAAAGAAAACAGCTTTTGTCCATGGAGTGTGTGTTCAGAAGCTGGGAGTGATCTTTTGATGTTTGGCGGTTCTGCTGCTTCAGTCTGCGTTTGGGAGTTTCACACTACTGTTGCTGGTCTGCGGTCCATCTCGGCTTCCAATTTCACCATCTGCTGCATCTCCTTCGCCTATAACATCAGAAACACGGCTCTACATGTTGAAATCCTTTCCTGAAGGCACTTAACAACTCTGGCCTCTCTGCTTCTAAATTTGATGCTGAAATTATATCCTTATTACTCAAAGTGTGGTCCAGGAATTCCCAGCATCACATTGTCTGGGACAAAGTCAGAAATGTAAAATCTTGGGGTTTTCCCAAGATCCACCAAATCTGGGTCTACATGTTAATGAGACCCCCCCCCAATTTCTATGCACATTAAAGCTTGAGGATTTTTCCATGTAGTACCAGTAAAACCACTCAAAAAGACTGAGCCAGATATTTGGACTGTGTCATATCAAATTGTTTGACCTAGTTTCTGCAGCTTGACTTGTTGCTTTGACTATGGGTAGATAATGCTATTTTCAGAATAGGCATTGCTTATGTACAATTTGTTTCCCCAATAAACTAAACTTTAAATTTCCCAAGAATCTAAATGTTGGAGAAAGTCAAGTAAGAACAAATACATTGGTTTGGCTGGATATGTAGGGTTTCAGAAGTCCTACTGCCCAAAAACTCTGGCTGGAGGCTTTCACTTCTCTGAGGTAACTCATTTTTTATGGATTGCTGGGAAGTAAGCCATGATAAATTCAGTGTCGTAAATTAGGTCCATCGCTAAGACAAGAGGTTGATTCAAAAGGTAGAAAAGGGTCAGATGGAGGTAAGGATCTTGGCAATGTAGGTAAACTGAAATGGCTCATTTCACATTTTACTTTCCAATTGACAGCCCAGATGTTTTGACGCAACCCATATAGACATGTACCTTTTGGAGAGACAAGGAACCACCCCTTTCCTCTATCTGTTATAAGTCACTTTGAAATAAAGGACACATAGGAATAGAAACATGGATGCATAAAGAGATAAATCATAGGAAGCCTGTGAAGTATTCTAATGCTACTCTTAATATCTGCTTTGATATTCCAGCTAAATGTAAGGTCAGAAGGAAAGTTGGGTCACATAGGCATAGCAGAAATCTAAATCTTCCAAATGAAGTTCTATAACAAAATTAGTTTAACCCACAAACCAAAGAGTGATTGTTTTCATCTTTTTATATTGTGGCTTTCAATTTCATTTTGATAAGCATGGATATAACAACACCAGGGAATTATATCTATCTGAATAAATTTGGGATGAGCTATCCCCTCTACCCAGATATTTTTTATGCCTGATATATGTGTGTGTGTGTGTATATATATATATATATATATATATATATATATACTCTAGTAAAATGGAGAAATGCAGAAAAATGTACAAACATGAAACTATGACACAAATAGTATTCATAAGAGATGGAAGTGGAACATTAAATAACTTGATGCTCAGTAAATAGTAATAAAAGATTCCCTATACTTTTTCCCATTTAGCATTTAAAGATGGTATTGAACATAGTTTAGAAGGAAGCATCACATAATATTTAAAGATTATCCCAAGAGCTAAATTCTTGTATAAACAGGGTGACCGTTCATTTCCATTTGCCTGAGACAATTTCAGCATATACCTGGCTATTATAAACAATGCTCCCTTCACCAAAAATGTCTTGATTCAAACAATAAATTACATGATCACCTTATGAGGGGTGAATAGGGTCCTTGGTAGCCACACTTAGCAAAGAACATGACAAAAAGGCATTGTATAAATTTATGCATGTAGAACATAGCCCTCTGTCATTATAAACCAACAAACTCTCAGTACGGTGCACTAAAAATGAATTGGATTCATATTAGTATTTGTGAATGAGATGATTCTCTGAGCCAGGGTTGGAAGTCCACACAAAAAGTACATATCAAGGTTCTTGATGTCTGGGTTGTCTTTATACAATGACCCATTTCCCAGATCGGCAATTGGAAAATGCTGGCTAAAGTGCTTTCAGAAATAATTTTCTAAAGATTTTTCGGCATTTCAGATTAAATGTTACATCAGAAATCCAAACATAAATAGTGAAGCTTTTTAAATTCAAACCCCTCAGTTATTAGTTATGACCAGAAGTGAATCATACATGGAAATTGTACAGAAAATACTCAGGTAGTTGAGAAGGAAAGCAATGTTTTGCTTATTAGAGTTTCAGTCCTACCTTGCGTTTGGGACACTGCATGACAGGATTTCAAAAGCTGTTTGTACAAAAATAGTAATGTCAAAATTGAGTCATACATACAAAGCAAAGAAAATAAATGAATATTGAAGTGATTTTGAGAAATGAATACAAAACCATATACAGAAAAGCAAAAGGCTAAGACTAAAACATGTATACACCTATTAGTGACACACTTTTCCCAGTTGATATCAACAGAAAAACAAAATAAAACAAAACAAACAATCAATGCCTATTAGCCCAGACTGTGCCTCTCTTCTGTAGCAGGAAGTGGGGAACCTGACCTTTTGCCCAATCTTTTTTCTCACTTTATTCAATGATAGAATTGATGACAAAAATCAATTTTAAGACTTGAGTGTGACAGTCATGGAGTCTTAAATGTTTGAAATGCACATGTCAGGATGGATGAGACACTGTGTGGCTAGGAAGTCGATGGGAAATCTTGAGTGGGGAAAAAAAGAACCCCTGGCCTTTGGAGTTTTAAGTGAATAAGTGGCTGACCAAGTAGGCAAGGCCAGAAAAAGGCTAAGGCAAGGACATATGAGTCTGGGATCCTGAATTGGGACCAAAACATATGATTGGTTGAGTTGTTCTCCCTTCTACAGGTGCCGTTTGCACCGGTTTAGTGATTAACTTAGTCTAGTGATTAACATCTGTGCTTTACTTAAGGGTTGGTGGGTAGCAACTGGGAGAACATATAGGAAAAGTGTCATGGGGAAGCAATAAAAAACCACAAAGGGAAACATGAGAAGTGTTTAAATTAATTTACCTTTGGCCTAAAAACAGAAGTCTAAAAAAATAGTCTTGGGACTAAACAATGGTTTGAGAGATTGTCCTAGAAGTTTGGACTTGTCTAAGACGGGGAACTGTTTTTGCCAATGATATGTTTAGTTGGTAATGAAAGGAGCCTCATTGCATAGTTTCAGACCTTGCCTTTTGTGAAGGAAGAAATGAGGTCACTGCATCTTCTTCACTGTACCTAGGACAGTGCTATACCATACAGAATTGAGAGCTTCTAGAGTTTTAAATTAAAACACACACACACACAGACACACACACACACACTAAAAAGACCTGGAATTGAGTCTGCTATAGGATAGGTCAATATTTATAAAGCAAAGCTTCACACAAAAATTCAAGTTCAAATTCTATACTTCAAGAGCTCCAAGATATTTTTAATTTCTTTTCCTTGAATCTAATTAAATCTTCTTCAAGTCTCCTGCTTTTTCATATTCCGTGTTTTCCTAAGCTTCTGTGACTCAAAGTATCAGCTGTGGGTGGGAGACATTACTTATGACATCTTGAAATGCATTATGTGAATTTTAGGAACAAAAAGTTAGCATCTTCCCTGTATGCTCCAATCAATACAACTACCACTAATGCGGTATTTTAGTACAGGAACACTGATATGGTTGGATTATCCATGTATTAGTATAAAAGCTCAAGATAATTTATTTATTATGTACTTTGGTTCTGAATCTAGCAACACTGTAAAACTGTATTCTCTCCCTCTGATCTACACCACTACTGTAGTGATGAGTAATTTTTAGCACCTTTACGTTCTCTAGTCAAACTTGTTGCTAAGCGACGCAATAATTTCTTAGTTTCTTAATTTAGATAGTTAAAACAACCGTACCTTACCTTTCATTGTGCCCTTCCTGTAAGGATGATTTTAAAATAAGCCTTGTCAAAGTCTCCTCTCCCTAAATTACAGCAGTAGGCTCTAAAACTTTAGAGATGGTGGCTTTACCTTTAATCAAGTCCCATGTGTCCCTAGGAACACTTTCTGACAAGCACTTTAAGAGAAAAAAACATGGCTTGTACCAGAACATGATGTATCTATGAGTGGGTCAAATGAATTAGTCTTAAAGGACAAGAAACGCAACTGTCCTCCTTGGGGATTAGTGCACAATTCATGACTCAAAGCACTTTATTGAAAAGGAAATGTGAAAACTAGCTCAGAAGCATGCAGATGAATAAAACTTCTCTCCAAAGGATCTTTGAAAGCAGAAGTTGGATTTGTTATCCAGTTGAAATCCAAAAACTAAATGAATAAATCAATAAATTATGTCTTGCTATCACTTTCTTAAAGGGACCTTTTGAATGGCATGCCTAGTCAAATATTATTCAAGGGGAGCCATTTACTCTTAGAAAAAGACATTTTAAATAGAATTGCTTGGTAGATGGAAGGAAAGAGAGAACAACAGTAAAGTACACACACTTTATCAGAACATCTTTGAGGTCTTTAAATTGAAGGAAATTATCTAGAAAGAATAGCTTTTGAAACAACTATACTTCAAGAGTGAAATTTGCACTGAGAAGAATGAAGTTTAAAAGCTCTACTGAATGTTAGCTTGCTTTATCATCTAGAAAAGTTGCCACCAGTTTGGATCGGCATGGCAGAAGGCTGCTGATCTGTGGCCTACCTGTAGTACAATTGAGGCAAAGATACAGTTTTCTTGGTGCTGATAACTAATGAAACAGTTGGAATTTGGCTCTTTCTTTGTACTTTTGAATTTACTGTTTTGCTGTGCTGGGAGAAGAGTGTCCCAAAAGACATGGATCGTCCCCAAAAGAATGGTGTCCACTCATGTTGGGTGGTTTGTAAAATTATGGAAGCATGAAGATCCCAAGTATAAGCACTTAGTTGGATTGTTTGTTTTGTTTTGTTTTGTTTTTGTTTTATAATTTTTTGGTGTTGAGAACTGAACTCAGGGCGTCATGCTTATTAGGCAAGGATTCTACCACTGAGGTAAATCCCTAGCCCCCCAAGTGTGAGCACTAGGAAGCTTTTATTACTTCATTTTTAGACGAATGCTGAAAATAAATGGGTTTTCTTACTTGCTTTTAAAAACAGTATCTCTTGCCTGTAGATTAAAAATTATAAAACTGACTGACAATGGAGATGTGATTTGTAACCCCCATTTTTTTGTCTATTCACTTTTAGTGAGGTCACTCATAGAGTCCTCTAATATATTAAACTTCTCTTTTTTCCCACAGCCACTTTCTCCTTCCAAAAAATTTTCTTTCTGTTCTTTTTAGATGAAGTGCAGAAAATATGGTAAAATCTGCAGTAAGTTCCTCTTGCCACCTGCTCATTACACTACACAGACTGCTGGCCCTAGCAGAAGGGTCTCTGTGGCCATAGTGTGTGCAGCATTTAGCTGCTGGCTGCCTGTAACTTTTTATGTATTTTAGGCACAATACCTGCTCATTCTGTTTCTCTAGGAATTCAAGGTGTTCAAGTTGAACTTTTTTCAACTGATCCATTTCTTTGGACTGCTTCATCGCGAGCTAAAAGAAAATAAAAAAAGAAATAGAAAGAGAACTCTGAACTCTTATCAGCTTTTTGAGTTGTAATCTTAAAGCTTATGAGGAATATTTCATAAGTTTATAAGTGAGGGAAATAATTTTTGAAAAAAGAAAGGTAGACTGAAATCTGGGAAGAGTTTAAACTTACTCTGCTTCCTGAAAAGATCTTTCTGCTAAAATCTTAGGAAACAAATGGTTTCATTTTCTATTAAAAATGGTGTCAAATAATTACCTTAAATATTTGGTAAATGTTACTTCTTTGTGTTTGTTTGTTTTTTGGTATTGGGGATTGAACTCAGGACCTTGCTCTTATGAGACAGGCGGAGGCATCACTGAGCTAAATACCCAGTCTACCTTAAAGATTTTGCGAAGTCATTACTTTTAGTTTTTAGGGAGCAGAGAAGTTGGAGCGTTTAGTGTACAAAAAAAAAATGAAATTAATCAAATTAGCTAGAGGCTGGCATGTAAGCATAGTCTATGGCTTATAGTTATTTCAAGGAAAAGTACCAAGAATATGAGAAAATACTTACTCTTTTTCTTTCTTCTAGAAACTTTTTGGTGTTACTGCTGTTTAATTCCCTGACTCGCCTAAAAACAATGAAGATAATTGACAGTTGGCATGATATTGAATGGAATTAATATTGTATCACTAAGAGCCTGTTTCACTCTAATTATCCGAATAGAATTACTCTTTTTCTTAATTTTTAGAACAGCATCAGATGGATTTGTCCATGTGTGATATACTCAAGTGCGTCTCACACTTTCCTGGGCACACAAACCACTTGGAGATACTATCCATATAGACTGCTGGGCCCACCCTTAAGATCATCTAAAGTCTGACGTGATGGGCCTGGAGTTCTGTAGTTCTACCCAGCTGACAGGTAACCTAATCCACAGAGACTGACCAGTGGATCTCAGCTGGGCCCAGAGTTCTGCATTTCTACCAAGTACCCAGGTAATGCTGATGCTTACAATATTGCTTTGTATGTTTTTAAAATTTACCCAAATATTAATTTATTCTGCATTTCTCTTTATAACTCATCATTTAGTCTTATAGTTATATCTATGTTTCAAACTATTCCATTATTTTATCTCCTGCAAAGATTTTTTTCCAGTGATGAACCAGACTGCAATATTTTCAGGCTACCATTAGTGAAAAGCAGGTTATTGTCAAACAATACCACAATGACCTGGTACAAAGGGCCCTGGACTACTTGGCACAGTAAATGTCTGTTGACTAAGTGAATTAGTACATACCTTCTTGTGCACGTACGCAAGTCTCTAGACTTGCCCATTGGTAGGCTATGGACAGTTTCATTTTACTCCAAAGTAGTTGCCCTAATTTGCACTTCTGCGTGCTGGTGTCTGCTGTGACACTTCTGTGTCTCTGCCCAATCCCGGACCCAAGAGACACTGACATCCTTGTCAATGGCATCATTCTGTTGTTTTAATTTGCATTTCTCTGATTACCAGTGAGGTGGAGTGAGTTTCATGACTACATGGACCTACAACTCATTGAACTTTGGTAACAGTAATAAATGTATTCAGATTTCTTCCTTTTCAGTCAGTTTGGGGTATTTTTCTTTTTAGGGAATTCACTCCACCTAAATTGTCAAATTTATTTTTTATCATTGTTTGTAATAGCCTTGTTTAAAAATGTGTATTGTCTCTGCAGTAACTTCTTTTTAATCCAAATACTGGTAATTTATGCTTTCTCTTTTTCTTCTTGATCAATCTTGCTGAAAATTTAAGTTTGTTAACTTTTTTCAGATAGCAAACTTTTGGCTTTGTGGATGCTCTCTATTGCTTTTTCTTCTATTTTAGCATTTTCTTTTTTTTTCTTTTTTGACTTTTTAAAAAATTAAAGATAGAAAAAAATACTTCCATAACTTGTTTCAGAAAGTGGGAAGGATGATGGAATAAGTGTGTTTGCAGAGAGGGTATACTCTGAGGGGGATTAATATGTCTTTAATTATAATAAATTTTTAAAAAACTGTAGTTTTTGATCATGCCCAGTATATGCTAGATTTTGGAACTGAACCACAGAGGGACCCCAGCTGAAACCACAGCCTCGCTCAGGGCCTGCCCTACCCTTAACCTGCTTCCCCAGGCTACCTCACTGAAGAGTCTCACTAAGCCACAAGCGTCTGGATTCCTGCCTTGGTTTCTCCTTCCTGAAACCCAGCTAACACAAGGACAAACCAGAAAAACAGGATTTAAGAAGATCCTTGATATCAGGGCAACTCAAGGCTAATCAGGGAACAAAGACTGCTCTCCTGCTGTTTAGAAAGGTACAGTACTCTCCACAGCGTGCTTGTACCTGAGCAGGTGAGATGCTTGCAGGATGATCCAAGGGAACACAAGAAAAATGTTTTAGAATTACATTGATTATTTTATCAAGTTATTATTTTTGCTTGTAAAGAAGCATATATGCATTGAATGTAAATTTATTTTGCTGGTGGTAGTAAACAGAGAACTTTAGAGACTTTAGACTTTAGAGATTTCAGAGAACTGTAAAGCAATAATAATACATCTCCATATCAGTTATAACAGCAGAAGTTTAGTCAAACTCCACAAGTGTTTTGTATCTCAGGGATGGCACGTGTGTCCGCACATAAATCAATGTCACCGAGTCCGTGTCTTCAAATCAATGACAAATTCATGCAGTGAGCAGCATGCTTAGCCTTACCTTTCCCGTTCTGCTTTATTCTTGATGGATTTATCTTGGCTGATAGCTTTGCTATTTTCCATAGAAATCTTAGCCTGATGGGCTCGCATTTCCTTGCTTTCCCTACATATTAAAAATAAACAAATAGGATATGGATGGAGTTAATGTTTCAGGTTTCACTTGGGCCTGATGAAAATATCCCGGAAGTGGGCGGCAGCGATGGGTACATGACAATGTGTATGTGTCTAATGCCATACACTTAACAATGGCCACAGTGGTACATTTTATTCGATATGTATCTCACTGATGACAAAATCAAAACACCAATTCTGTGTGTAATAGTGAGACTAGGTCCACCCCCACTCCCAAGTCATTATTGAGCTCCCTGAGTTATTTTGCATTGTGGAAAAGGGGGTGATGAATCCAGCTCATGTGGATTGGGCCACCTAGTGGTGAAGCGGAAATAGTGTCAGATGAAGAGAAATTTCTATCCATAAAACAAGCATTTCTAGCTGTGCCTGCAGTATTTGTGACCAGATGGGCTGAAAAAGAGAAAGAGGGTGTTAACCCTCTGGCTGCTGACAGTTCCTGGGAATGAAAGGGACTACATGGCTTCAAATAGGCAAAATTGCAAAAGCTCACGTTTACAGGCCATGAAAGCCTCTGTGTGTGAATTCAAGCTCACGCATGGCTTGTGTATATTTAAATAATTTATGTGCACAATACATGGATGTAGTTTAGGATACTAAAATGAGTGTGATTAGAAAGAAGTGTTTCCTGGAACCTGGAGAGACTTCTGGAAGCTGTGCCTGGAATCTAGCAGGAGCTCCCTGACCTACAGACAGAGGTTTGCTCCTGATCAAACAGATGGACAGTGCCGAGCTGGAAAGTGCCTCAGTCCGAGACCTTAGAGCACAGCAGCAGAAACATGCATGGGAACTCTGGAAACTTTGGTCCCTGAGAAATTGCTCCCAAAGTTTTTTTTTTTTCTGTGACTTGTTAGTAAACTGACCGCTTCTTTATTCATTTGTTCAGTAGCTTATTCCTTCATTCATCCATTCATTTTGTTCAACAAACATTTATTAATGACCAAATGTTGCTGACACACGTTAAGAAAGCCAGGATTTGAACGAAGAACAACAGTTGTGGTGGCAGAAAGGAAACAACCAGGTGTGTGAGGAAAGACTGAAACATTGCTATTATTTTGAAAGGTGCTCCTGCCATGGATTTGGGGTTTTTTGAGGTAAATTTGTACCTAGTTTATGGTTTCCTATGACTTCCTCAGTACTGCAAATATTAGTTTCCTATACTTTTTAAAGACATTTCCTAGAATCTGGAGTGATCTTTTTTCTTTGTTCAACTATAAAATAATTATTAGAAAGGTGCCTTGTGCAGAAGTATCTTTGAATTGCGACAGATACCTAAAATCTGCAGCAACAGTCAGGCACAGAATGATGAGTAGGGTTTTTTTTCCCCCTTTTGAATTTTTGGATCAACAACATCTCTAATGGAAAAAAGAAAAGAACTTCTTCTAGCCTTAGGCATTCTAAAAGAGTCTGTTGGCTCATTTGTACAATACTTCTGTTTTCCGCTCTTCAGTGCTCAATGAAGAGTATCCTAACTGTGCTCCCTAACAGTGCACCCTAACTGTGGCACACGGAAGGCACTGACTAGGAAGCAAACAAGTTGCAGCCACACTGTGATAAAGAATGTCACTGAGCCACCAGGGATTTAGCTCAGCAGCACTATGCCTGCCTCACAAGCACAAGGTCCTGAGTTCGACCCCCCCACCAGATAAAGTCATTGATGTAATCACTCTCCTGCTTGGGTGAGTCCAATTCCTACTCTGCAGTAATTCCAGAGCAAGGTTTACTCTGCAGAAGTGGGACCAGCCTAATAAATGGATACTGCTATTTCACAATCAGGTTTGGCTTCCTAAATTCATACAAATCCTAATAAAAAAAAAAAAGGAAGGAAGGAGATCCCCTTCAAAATTTGCTATTGAGTGATCAGAATCAGTCTAACAGTTCTTCTTCGGGTTGATCTCTTCCTTCTCTGTATCTCATCTTTCTAGGAGGCCCCAGATCATTTTCTAAAGCCCAGTCCCAGCCCTGCCTTTCTGCACAGCCTCCGGGACCACTCAGAGGAGTCAGAGCTCCACCGGACAGGATGTTCCTTAGTGTCTGTGACATTTCCTAGTATGTATCATATGCTTCTTGTAATTGGATTTAACTTTTCATGTGAGAAGTATCTTGCCAACCCTTGTAAACTCTCAGATGGGGCAGAGGCTATTTCTTATAGTTCCCCTTGTTCATATCAACTGTATGACAAGATATATACAAGCACTGCATACTAAATCAAGCTGATTTCACTTACCAGCTCAGTGTGCACATGCATACATGCACACACAGTCACACACATACACATCTTCTTTAACAACTAGGAGTTTACTCTGGGCATGGCTGGCCCTCCTACCTGTCGTGGGACAGTTTCAGCTGCTGGGTTTGCTGCTCATGAGCATTCATCAGTAGCTTCTTCAGCAACTCACACTGCTGGTTAAGGTGCAGGTCCCGGATTTCTTGCTCCTCCACACTGTGGGTGTTGATCATTTCTGACCATTCCTTTGTGTGCTGTGCCACAATCTCTTTGACCTGTTTGGGGAAAAGCAGATGAAGTCACCTGCAATACTCATGGGTTAGGTATGAACTGAAACACAGCATTATCCACGCACTTCAGATCCCACCCTGAAATGGATTTATTTGGCCAATCACTGGACACCTACAATCTACAAGAAAATGCACAAATTAATGGGATCAGAAAGCCATTAATTATTAAAATAAATTAAGCACTTCAGCTCTAAATATTTAATCATGATCCATTATTTTACTACCTAACTTATTCAAGCTCTGATTTGTCTGGGTCATGCTTCCTTTATCAATTCCATCGGGATTCTCTTTACCACCTCATACTTTTCCAACTTCATTTCTACTATAGGTGGAAACAGAGCTGTGTGTTTTTTGCCTCCGGGCTGTGACTTACTGCATCCCTCCTCATAGACGCTGCGTAGAACATCCTCGCCTTTCAGTATCTGTGCACTTTGCAATATGGTTTTGTACATAGTACTCTTGTCAGAAATTAGAATCTATTCTCCATCTTCTTGAATATGGCTGAACTTGTGGTTTCCTTTAGCCAGCAAGACAATGACAAATGCGATGTAAGCAAAAAAGTGCTTACCCTTTTGCTGTGCTCGGTACCCTGTGACTGAGCCTGTGCTAGTCTGCTGGAGGCTGCACCGACATGCAAGGAAAGACAACCAGCAGCCAGCCACCCACCAGATATACAAGTGACTGTGACATGTGAGTGAGCTCAGCAAAACCAGAGGAACCATCCCAAATATTCTCAACTACTGAACTGCGAGCTAATAAATAGTAGCTGTCTTAAGGGACTGAATCTTGACACCATTTATTATGAAATAAAAGCAAACTGACACTGCTACCAAGGTTTGTTGTTTTCTGTTCAGGGAAAGCATCTAACGATCATGGCATACTGACTAAGGCGTGATTTCTCCAGTATTCCAGTGAAGAGGAGTGTGGGGAATAGCTTTGAAGGGCACGTGGCTTGTTGCCTCTACACAGCACATGTTAGATGAGGCCCAAGAATTCAAGGACGACTCTATCTGAACAGCATGGCCGATCTGTGCACCAGGCCAGGCCATGGTGCCCAGTGACAGCACTGCATATGGACAGATGGAAGCTGGCTACTTTGACCAAATTCAAAGATTCAAAGCTTTCTTTAATATTTTTTTTTCTTTGAAATCTATTATTATTGTAAGAACTCTTTGTGTTCTTCCTTGGGTCCTGGCATTTAGGTCCCCAAAATAGCCACAAATTTAATTAAGGCCTTTCAGATTCTTATTTTCTCCTGGCTTAGGGGAAATTCAACTAATTAGTCTCCTCTCTTAGAATGTTGGTTTTCTACTTTTCTCATCCCAAACTCCACCCACTAGCTAAGTTAAAATGGAGTAAATATTAAACAGGTACTCAAACCCAACCCAAGATGAATAGTTTTCTGTCTTATGCATATTTTTTTACTTCTATAAGGATATATATTCAGTATTTTACATAGTTTTTCTCCTCCTTTTCTTCATTTATTGTTTCACTTGATGTCTTGGAGTTGAAGAGCATAAATATAGTTAGCACATTTCCATCAACAAAAGAGATGATCCATGAAGTGGCTCTTTTCAAAGCCAGGGAAGCAGGCAAACATGAGCCCAGGTCCCCTGTCCTCCCAGACCAGCCCCAAGCCACTCTTACTTCTGATTAACACCAGCTGCCTCCCCCAAAGGACTACAGAGTAGTCTTCTGTAAGTCACTGCTATAAAAATGGGCATTTTCTTACCTTAGATTTGTGATCTGATGTCAGTGTCTGAATTTTAATTTCTGTTTCTTTTTTCATTTCAAGGCAATTGTTTCCCCTGAAAATAGAAAATTGCAATGCATACCAGGAATTTGCTATCTTCCAATTCCCTTGGGCCTTTGTGACAAAGCTTTCTGGTGAAGACAATATATTCATCAAATGTGGGATGCCAAGGCTCATTGGGCAACATGAGCTTTTCTACTAATAGATTCATACCTTACAAAATATTATCTGATCATGATTACCCAATTCAACCGCTACACAAAGATAAACTTCAGACCCAACAATTATTTGATTGTTAAAGGTCTGTTGTCAGAGTTTCCATTTTGGTTCCTCTTTTTCTTCAAGCTATTTTTCATTTATTCGACAAAATATTATTGGAAACGAAAACTGGAAAATAGGTCTTCAGCTCTGAAGTGAATTTCTAATTCTTTCATTTTGATTGTAAAGCCAGACTTTTGTCTTTTAAACATGCCAATGAGGAAGAAAATAGCATTTCTTGGCATCTTGGGGTAAATTTCGCTTCTGATTCTATTGTGAGTAGGAAATATATGCTAAGTAATTGCCCAGCAAGCTTCAGTACTCATTTCAGTGATTATGTTTTCCTTTCCATATCATTGCCGAAACAAGGACAGGTCTTCAGCATCTGTTTTCAGCATGTGCACTCCAAGTCAAAATGTTTTCTTATAGTAGCATTTGAGCATTCCCCTGAGAGTGGCATTGCACTAGAAATCCAAAGTCTCTCATCAAACTAAATCTTGATGGTTGGAACTGAGTATGTTACTTCACGTTAAATTAAATCATAGGTTTTATTCCATAATCTTAACTGGGCATAAACAAAGAATTTCTATAGTGTTAAAAATCAAGGTCACAAACTTCCCTTTTGTAAAACCTTATTATTTGCTGTCTATGCAAAATCAATTTATGTGCTTTGAAATTTCCTAACTTTACTTTGTTCCTCTCCCCTATTCATCTTCTCCCTGTCTTTTAAAGACACTGAGTAGAAAACATATAAGGGGCATAGTTGTCATCACTTTAGGCCACAGCTGCAGAGCACTTGAAGGAGGCTCTTTTCACCATCTCAAACATTCCTTTCATGTGAGTAAAAAGGGTACAAAAACCTATTACAGGTGCTTTTTAATTTACAATGAGATCATGGCCAATAAACACATTATAAGTTGAAAATATCTCTAAGTCAAAAATGCATTGAATCCACCTAACCTACTACATCCCAGCTTAGCAATGTAGCTCTCTGTAGAGGATCTGCTATTTCCCCTCATGATCCTCTGGCTGACCGGGAGCCACTGTCCAGCATTACTACAGAGTTTAGCTAGCACATGAAAAGATTCAAATTCAAAATTTGAAGTACAGTTTCTACTGAATGCATTTTACTTCTGCACCACTGTAAAGTCAGAAAGTCCTGAGCTGAAATATTTTACATCAGAGATAGTCTGTGCTTGTTTTCGAAACAGATCCCACTTAAATCTTGAAAGATGAACTAGTTTATCCTTTCAGGAAATTTTAGCTGCTTTGCTGTTTTAGAGTCTGAGCCATTTTGATACCATGTTCAGTAACAGAACAAAACTCTTAAAATGTGGCCCTTGGGAAAAAGTTATCTAATGTCTGATTTTGAAGTTAACTTTTATTGTGTTGTTGAGCCATCCACTCTTTCAAATATTTGAAAATGTCCTTTATGAAAAGTTCTGACACAGTGCTGTGAAGGCCCAGGGAAAGATGTGTAGATGAACTTATCCAGTGTCACCTACACTAGTGTAAAATAGAGCTTTTACTTGCTGAGAATCCTCCAAGACTGTTCCATGGGCTGCTTAGGGGGCTAAGTTACCAGGCATAACTTACAATAAATGTTATGCTGACCCCACTTTACCTTTGAGTATAAAAATAATCATGAGTAAATATATATTTCACCCATGCTTTGGTTTTTAGCAGCAGTATCATTGATTTACTGATGTTGAAAATGTGTGTTTTTATTTCAACAAAAACACTATATGTTGCTTGAGTTTGAAATCTCCTTAAAAAGATTCTGATTTTAAAATATGGAAAGAAAATTTCAACACAGCCATGCACAAGAATAAGTAAACCAATTTTTTAAAAGATGACTTGTGAATAAAAATGAATTTATTCTTGGGAAGTACTATAAAATTGTCAAAATTTGTCCCATAAAGGGTCTCTACTCACTTTTAAGGTCTTTGTTTACTTTTCAACATTTTTGTCTAAAATTTCACTGAAAATAAGAGCGTAACTTTAAAACATACAATATAAACTGCTGATGTGCTTAGATGTCTAGACTAGTCCTAGCTCCCTCAAACTTATATTTATGCCAATATGGTCACATGAGCCTTGAGATGAGTTGGTCAGCTTTGCCTGACTCAAAATGCACTATCGAAAACTTTTCAAAGTAACAGGCCATGAATTTGCTTCTAAGATACACAGTGAAAACAGTGGGAAAACAAAAGGTAGACTGCATACTAATGTTGTTCCACAACCAGTGCCTGATTTGTGTTTTTTCAGAAAATATAGCTGTAATAAGAATAAAAGCACCCTTAAAAAACTGAGGCCTGCTATCAGGACAGGTGCACATAATTACCTACCCTTTACTCCTCAAGTAAACTACACTATTCTCATGCCATAAAGTTAGGTCTTTGGGACCAGAAGTTGCAACAAACATAATCAGTTCTCTTATCTTGAGTGAATGTCAAAAATAAAAAGAGGGTTAAAAAAAAAATCATTCTTTTCTATTTTTCTCTGTGGGAGGCCAGAAGATACCAACATAGATTCAAGGCAGGAGATCAAAAGCCAGAGAACTTCGCTGAAGGAAGACAAAACTGTGTCAAAAACAATTTCTCAGATAAATTGAATGTATGCAAAGTCTCACAGTATCTTCCCGCAGGTGTTTGTTAATCATAATGGGAAAGCAGCCAATGCTGTTATAGTGCAGAAATGGCTGGATACCACCTTAGCCAAGTGGTCCAGGGTAGCACTGCCTGTGGTGAGACATAGTACTCTCTGGCATCACGGGCTGAGAAAGAAGCATCGTGGCTTCCGGGGTGAGATTGTCAAACACACACAGCCTCCCCTTAGTCACGAGAAGCTACCAGCTAAACCACATGGAGAGACATTCAACAAAATAAATGAGCAGTATTCTTTCAAAGTGAAGAAGCCATAAGAGTCAGGGAGTGGCTGAAAAAGAATGAGAAGAAAATGAATACAGGGTGAGGTTCTAGAGGAGCTCCTAGAATAGAAAGGGGGCATTAGTGGGAAAATTAGGAAATTGGAAAAACCACTGCAGTTTAATTAATAAATATTGTTCTGATGTTAATTTCCCAGCCCGATAATTCTACTATGGTTTTGGGGGTTGTTGACATGTAGCAAAGCTGAATTGGACATATACAAGAACTCTCTCGACTAGAGCAGTCTCCTTTTCTCCATAGGGGCTGTGCTAAGCCCCCTAGCGGTGGCTTGAAGCCACAGGTAGCACCTAGCTACCCGTTTTGCTTTGTTCTTCTTTTCCCCCATACATACATACCTATGATAAGGTTTAATTTATACACAAGGCGCAATAAAATATTAGCTACAATGACAGTAAAATAGAACAATAATGATATATTGTAAAATAAATTATTCAAAGACGATGAATGGCTTATTTCTACAACTTTCCATTTAACTGTTTTTGTACTGTACTTGATCATAGTTAACTCAAACCACTGAAAGTGAAACCTCAGGTAAGGCAGAGCCAACTATAATTTTTACAACTTTTCTGTAAGTTTAAAATGATTCAAAAATGAAAAGTTACATCCAATTGTCAGGGTGGAAAAGTATTTTCCCCCACTATTTGTGGATAAGATTTTTTTTTCAGGACCTCGGCCTAGTATAGCTAAGGTGACTGATGCAGACCCTGATATGATGCCAAGGCATTTAATGAACCAGTCTCTTATTTTGAAGAAGTAATTTGAAAAGATAAAAATAGAGACAACTCTAAGTTCTTCTGTGGCCCAAACAGGTGGGTGAACTGTGAGAAAAGACAAGCTATAGAAAGGAAGAAAATAATCAGAAAGAAATAAACAGTATTACCCCTTCTTCTTCATGGCCTTCTCTAGGATTTTCTCATGAGTCGACTTCTCCTTGTCATACTGTGCCACGATTTTGTCAACTTGCGTGCAATGTAACTTCTGCATGGTACTGTGCTCCTGTAAGAGAAGTCTGCAGTTACAAGGTGGGCTTCTGGTGAGGTTGAGAAGCTTCACACTACTGGGATGGTATCAGCTTCACACACTTCCCCAGAGCCTTGGTTTGGAAGGTCGGAGTAATCAAGTGTGAGAATCGCGCAGACTTCCCCATCCAACATGAGAGTTTCCCGTCCAAGGGCATTCCAATGAGGGAGCCCCCAGCCTCAGTCATGAACACACCAAACCTCCAAAGGCAGTTTTGTTCATGGATGGGGAGTGCTAACCCCTTCAAGACCCTTCTACACGTGTCTCCCCGTGTCCCTCCCACAAAATGGTCCTCTAACCCCCAAGTTTAGTCACCATATTTCTTCTCTTGCTAAATACAACTATTCATTATGTGAGACATGGTTTCTAAACACCCGGCATATTTTGGGGAGTCTTGAATACTATTACTACACCACGAGCCTGCCACAGTGGGTATCACTAGCCGCTGAATCTGAATCTACACCACTAGTTACACTCACTGACTTCCATATCTAGATTGATCTTGTTAGTGATGAGAGTTCAGGAGCTCTGACCTTCAGTTTTACAGATTTTAAAAAGATTTTCTGATTGGCTTCGCTTAATTGATGTAATTTAAGGCTGCAAGGCTTGGGAAATAGTAAATATTTCTCTGTAAACATTATATCCTGCTGGACAAAAAGAAAGGCATTTGGTTACAGCAAATGCTCCTCGGAAATCAGATTTCTCTGGGCACTCAGCTTCTCAAACAAAGATGAAATCAGTATAATCATGAACACCAACCTCTAAATGCTACTTAATGTTATAGCCTAGTCTTACTCTCAAGAAACTTAGAGAATGGAATAGTAGTAACTGGAATAGTTTGATGCTGTTCAGTTGGTATAACTACTCTCCCAGTCAGATTTCTTTTGCTAAATTTTATTATCATTATTATTATTAATTTATTTATTTATTTTTTTGGGTACGGGGGATTGAACTTGGGTCCTTGAGCTTGTAAGGCCGGCCACCGAACCACTGAGCTAAATCCCTGGCCCTTCTTTTGCTAAATTTTAGAAAAATCGAGTGACTTAATTTAAAAATGAAATTTTCCCCTAAAGTAGAGTTGCCTTTAACCAAACCTAATTCGTAGTCTTTGAAAGATTTCATGACAAAGGTGGAAGGGATTTTTAATTATAACAAGGTTTCCTTACTTCCTCAGCTTCATTGGTGAAGTCTCAGGACTCACACATGTGTAATCTCTTTAGAATGCACAGCTATACCAAGCCTTCACGTTCCTGACTCTAAAATGAGAACAGTGTGCTGGGTGGCATCATCCTCAGAACAGGACCAAACAATGGGGATAAAGGTGTGGTGATTTTGCTATGGACTTAGGACCAAGGAGTTATGTGTAACCAAGGATGTTTAATTTGTAGTTGGAATACACATAGCCATATTTCCAATGGGTGCACATTTGTGTGATAAACACACTCAGAATTTCTGCAGCATGTGGTATTGGGTGGAAGGCCTAAGTTCCTCAGCCCCTAGTCCTGGGCAAGTCTGTTCACCTCTATAATTGGGATAATGATACCGAGACAGGGTGATTAAAACATATGGTTAAATGTCTAAATTTTAAAAAATCTTACTACAGTAAAAGACACATTGCCAAGAATGATGGGCTAAGTATGCTGGAAGTAAGAGAGAATAGTTTGAGCATTTTGAAGGAGACTAATGGAAATGTGTCTTTTACTATAATAAAATTTAAAATGTAAGCATTTGCTATATTTTCTGATCATGCCTCATGGGTCAACCATTTACAGCAATTTCTATCAAATAAAAACATTATAGTTTATCCTCCTGCATTTGTTCACCAGATCTGGCATTGTGCAACTTCTGACTCTTTGTCAAAGTCAAAATAACCATGAAGGGCAGACATTTTTAGTGAACTCAGAACATCAAGGCAACTATGACAGTGCTGCTAAAGAGACCCATGAAAACTGACCCCCAGAACTGCTTCTGAAAGAGACAAAAATAATGGAACGTGTTTGAAGTGATGGGAATATTTTGCAGATGAGAAAAGGAAATGTGTCTTTTACTGTAATATTTTTAAAATTGAAGCTGTCTCATTTCCCTTTTCCAAATACAATGACACACAAGTCGACTCATACTGTCCAATACCCATGATAATATACAAGCAGTGACTGGAGATCTAATTAAATCAGCAAAACTTTAAGCCTAATCTGTTTCCCCAGAAACAGAATAGCACACTGATATGTCCTTGAATATATTTAAACCTATTAAAATGCCCTACCCCTCATCTTTCTAAGATTTAAAAGTCATCATGCTTGGTTAGCACATGTCTTAATTTTCCGAGGCAAATGCATATACTCAATTAAAACAAATTGGATGTCCCATCTTCCTATGTCTCTTGCAAACATTATTCAAATTAGGATAAAGAACACTGTTTGAATATTCTAGTGTATCAGAGGAAAAACAGAGGGTGTGAGGCTGGAGGTAAATCTTCTAAGAAATTTAGTTAAATGTAAAGGCAGAGGCTGTTTGTACCATAAACTTGTTCATGGTGGGTTTAACTCTATGGATTATTGTTACACAAGGGCAGGAGAAGTTGCCTTTTTTTTTTTAACCCCATACCTACCAGTGCCTGGCACAAGGACAGGTATAAAGTAGATGCTCAATGAATATGCAAATAAACTCTAGATAAAAAATTATGGGAGAGTAGCAAGAGGAGGTGGATTCCAGTCTCAGCTCAATCCATAATTAACAAAGTGGTCTTATGTAACATACAAATCTTTCCAGGCCTCAATGTCTTTCTTAGAAAGGTAACTGAGATAACTTTGCCAGACCTAATTCATGGGTTGCAGGAGCTGCAAAGTTACCTTATGTAGAAATAATTTGAAAAAATTCAAAGCCCATTGAATTAAAATGATAGTACAGCTAAGAAAGCTGGTCCTGGAAAATTGTCTCTGCTTAAAACTGTACTGCTGTGTGGAAGGCAGTGATTACTGAAATGTTTCAGGGCTACTTGTTTGAAGACACTAATTCTTTTGGAAATAAACTGAAAGGAACATTAAATGCAACTGCCTTTTGACTGGTAAAGATTTAGCTTCTTGTTCTATAATATGAAGGAACTAAGAAATGGCTTAATGAAATAGTGAGATACCATCAAAGTAACATGAAATTTATTGTTCTGGTCAAGAGTAGCAAAATTAAATTGTTGACTTAAAGTCAACATAATTGGGACATTTTGGGGGAAAATTAATGTACTGCTTTGCACAGAATTCATACATGTTTCTCATCCAAATTAAGAAAAGTGAACACAGCTTCTCTGAGGAAAACTGTTGCGATGATTCATCCATGTGACTGAGGTGACTTAGGGTGTGAATTATCACACCACAGATGGTGCTGAAAAATCAGGGTAAAGCATGTTTGCTGTGCATGCAACCTGGAGATTATTGAGAGGCTGACTCTGGGTGGCTGCTAAGTCTTTGGCCACTTCAACTTTCTAACAGGGTCTGTTCTTGAGGTCTCAGTGTGAATTATAATTGATGAATTTAGCAGTCTCAGTATTATCAACTACACTGCTTGCATAGTAAAGAGTAATACCTCCACCCAGTAGCTTCATCAAAATACAGATCTCAGTCACTTTCTCAGACATTTCATTGGACTCATTTGCTGTTTATGCTGCACACTGGTGGCTCAAAGGTCGCGTTCCACCAGCAGATACAGCTTTTAGAGCAATTTTTTGGACCTACATGGTATTTCAAGAAGAAACGGAATTAGAAATAAGCTCTCTGAGGGCTGGGGACTTAGCTCAGTGGTTCTGGCTCCTACCTCACAAGTGCAAGGACCCAAGTTCAATCCCTGGTACCAAAAAAAAAAAAAATCAACCACAAAAAAAAGCAATAAGCTCTCTGTTGGATTATACATTCATACATTCATTTCCTTTTTTTTTCTTTATTAGTACATGTTTGTGATTCATGTGGTTTACAGTCATCCTGGGGAATGAGTACATGTACATGTGTTGGCTTGTTTTCTTTTTAACCCCCTCCCTCCTCTAGGTCCTCTATCACCTTTTTGTCCTTGTTGATACTATCTGTTTTGGCACAAGCTATGACTTGCACTGTTGACCCTGACTTGGGTTATTAGGTTCATGTACTTGGCACATCTTTATTTCTCTCATTTCTCCTTCCTTTTCCCAGTATCCCTTTCTTTGTTCCCTTGGACCTGAAGTTAAAGACAATGACTATACATTCATTTCTTAAACCACTGGGATTCAGTTCATGGATACTCTACTTTCGTGACATCTGAGGAAGAAGAGAATTACTTATCTAGGTTGGTATGTGTAAGAGATAAGATCTCCCTCTGTAGAGTCACTGGTATAGACTAAGTATAGTTAATGAGTGCTGAGGTGGGCCACAATCACAATATTGGACAGGTATAAGCTGAGCTACCTTCCTCAGGAGGTAATTGTGTAAACAACTTTTGGGGATAGCAAACCTTAACCTCACCTTAGGTAGCTTCAGAACTGTTAAAAAAGAGCTGTAGATTACCTTTCACAAAAAGGTTGGGAGATTTGACTCTAATACTGCTCGATATCAGGGGAAAGTCTTTGTTTCTTTGAGCAAATCTGATCTATATCTTGCAGGCAATCAACAGAGTTCCAATAAGGGGCCAGAAATGGTAGAAAGTGGCAAATAATGTTCCTAAAGAAACATTTCTAAAATCACAGCATACATGGGAGAGAAGATTTAATGTATTTTCATGGATCTTATCTTGGAGATTGTAACTAAGCCCCAACTGGGCACAAGAATATGCATTTTTACAAAACTGTTGGCTCTCAGGGCAAAAATCACATGATGATAAAGCAGTCCAGAAAGAAGCCAAGATACTTGCACCCTGAGAGTTTCATGATTGCTTTAAAAAATCTGCTACTGAGACCATCAAGATAATGTATGCAAAGAAAAACTAGTGTGGGAAAACTCATAGTATATTGGTTTGGAGCCTACATTCTTGAGTCAGACTGGATTTAAAAACAAAGTGATTTAGTCAAGTTGTGTTTCTTTTCAAGCACATAGGCTCTCATCTGTCCAATGAGTGACCAACTATCTGCAGAAATGGTCTCCATTATTTCCCTCTTTATATTTACCCTACTTTGCAATGTGAGTGGAAAATCAGTGTTAAGTTAAACACAGTCATCTAGGGATCAGGTGCCAAGTATCACCAGCAGTAACCAATTCAGCAATCCTTTTACTGCCCTTCACAAGTGTTTCCTTTTTCCGTGTTAAAGACAAACATGTTAGCAGAGTTGGTTTTAGTTTATATAGACAAGTAAATATTTATACATACTCATCCAAAGCCCTAGGACAATTAAAGCATATCAAAAGCTTTTTAAAAATCAAAGTAGATAATGTTCTAGGTAGTAAATGATATAAGTGTTAGAAATAGCAAGCAAGACTTACAACCAGCATTTAACCAGTTATATACTCTGGAAAGGGAGTCCCTCTTCTCTGAATTTCTTTCTTTCTTTTTTGTTTTCTTTCTCTCTCTCTCTCTTTTTTTTTGTATCTAGAATGTGAAGAGTGTTGATTGGGCTTGAAGGACATTGTGAGAATTTGAGAATGTATACAAAATATGTGACACAAAAGTGCAAGTAAATAAATGTTAGGTTTATTAGTCACAGTGGCTTTATACAAAAGACTCTAGAATTCAGATTTCATAAAATATACTTAGCATTTAGGAAGATTTAAGATCCTCTTTCACTGCCTATAATAATACGAGGATTTCAAGAAACTCAAGGTTATTTTCTAAAAATGAGGGCAACTTGGATTATTCCAGCTGTATGAGATTTACAGGTTGTTAAATGATATAAATATCTTCCTGCATGGAATGAAGTTCAAGGCAGTTGAGGTAGAGGAGAAGGTCTATGAGTGTTGCTTCTGAACTACCTCACAGAAAAAATAATTTCCCATCTTCATTACTTTACTCCTAAGCAGATAGGGCTGTTATCTAACATGATTCTGGCCTCTGTCTGACTGAAAGAGAACCAACAGACAACTCTATGTAAGATGTAGGTCTAGTTTGAAGAAACTGTAGCACATTATTCCCCAGTAACTGTTCTAGTAACTATAATGATGCTCTGAAGTAGATGGGGAATTTCTTTAACATCCCATGCACTGTCACTGTAGTTGGCCCAGTGAGGAGGGCCTTGTTTACTCACTGAAGCATCCAGTGTTCTACACAGAATGGTGCAATAAGGGTATGGGTTCTGGACTCCGATGATTTTGATTCAATTACCAAGCTCGGCTCCTTAACTCTGGGACATTAAATTGCCTGACCCCATTAATCCTTAATTTGCTCATGTGCAAAATGGGGACTTCGGTGGAATTTACCTTACAGGGTAGAGAATATTAAATGAGAGAATGCACATAAATTTCTGAGCATGGCTTCAGAGAAATATGGAGCATGCAAAAATTCTAACTGCTGTTATTGTTTTTACTGGTCACGGTGTATTTCCTAGTTATGCCTCAAGGAAATATTAAATGAGGCCAAAATATGTGTTTCCAAGTAGCCTAAAGGTCACTGAAGATTTTCTCAGTGACAGAGATCCAATTTAAATGTGACAATCTGTTCATTAATACTGGGGCATGTATAATTTAAGTCATTTAAGTCATTTATAATTAAGTTTCAATAATTTAAGTCATTTAAGTTGCATTCTGTCTTTTTTCTTTTCCTCTTTTTTGGTTGCATTTCTGTATTCCAGCTTATTGCAAATAAGCATCAAAATTGAAATCCTTATTTTAAAATATCTGTCTCCAATAGATACATGCTTATAATGATCTAAACCATTTCCCCATTGGGAAATGAAAGGAATCCTCTTGAATGAGGAATTGCTCATGAAACTTAGGGGCACTCTTTGAAGTGACTCTGTATGGCAAATGTGCTGAACCATCAACTCAGTAATACAGGGAACATTAACAGGCCAAGATTAAGCTGAATCTCTCAAGTTAGCACAAACTGTCAGAGGGTGACATGTTTCCAGGCCATGTTCTTCACATCTTCAGAAATGGAAGAATTCAAAGGCTCATAACTCAAGCCAAGTATTGCCAGACAGGTCTTGGTGTGAGGTTCGGGTCAGAGTGAAGTGTCCTTTCAACGCAGACATGAAGTTTCTCTTGTTCTCACTGCCCTTCATGTAAGAAGACACATAAGATCTTTCCAGCAGCAGTAGCAGCCATTGCTATACCTCTTAAGAAGAAAAAAGAGATACTACATTCCCTTCCTTTCCCTGTGAGGAAAGACTAGAAAGAAGAATCTTGTTTGAGTGCTGGGAAAGTTTTCAAACTATTGGAGAATTCCTGAGGTCATATACTACTGTTCTCTTAATACGGCAACTAGTTCTCAAAATTTCTTCGAATCGCTGTCAAAAAGACTTCTTATGACAATAGAAAAAAGTATATTTTATTTTGTTTTTTTTGTTGTTGTTCTTTTGTTTTTGGTACCAGGGATTGAACTCGGGTCCTTGCGCTTGCAAGGCAGGCCACCGAACCGCTGAGCTAAATCCCCGGCCCAGAAAAAGTATATTTTAGCAGCCAGCTACCAGTCAGGATTTACATTACCCTGGGAGATGAGGGGAGAAGTATTCCCTTCTCGAGTGTTGTGAATGGGAAGTCCACCTGCTAATACCCCCTCCATGCACTGTGTGTGGTAAACTATGATGAAACAGTTACCCATGGAACTTAGGTGACCAGTACTTAAGACTGTGAGCTGCTCTTCCGTAGTTAGGCTACTGCCCAATATTTTATATAAGGTCATACTACTGGTGGAATAATTTCTAAATGGGTGAAGCTTTATTCTGCTTTCAAAATAACAGTTAGAAATGTGATGACTGATCCCAAGTGTATTCTATATTTTAATTCATTGCTAAACAGTTTAAGTGAAGGGACTGCTGTCTATGTGGCTCAGAGTAACTTCTAAATAGGGTTTTGGCTATTAATGATTCATCTGTATATAACACAAAATAGGAGCTGCAGGTTTTCACCAGAGATCTGAAAGCAAACCATGAATGAATCAATAAAATGAAGCACATACACACACATGGTACTACCTTTGCATGCTTCTTCTTTAAAGAATTGAGCTCTTTCTGTTGTTTCTTTAAATGCTTTAAGTAAGCCTATGGGAAGAAAAAAAAAGATCAGAAATAAGTGAGTTTTTTTTTCAGTCAGAATGATTACACTTGGTGAAAAAAGCATATTGGTTTTACCAGTATGCATCCTATAAGAGCATTTGCAAAATGTCCAAGCAATTTTACCTTCATCTGCTTTAAATCTTCTATCCTCACTTGAGGGATAAGTTCAATACCTTTAAAAAAAGTCAGAAAAGTCACTGTGTATATGAAAACTTAAAAAACAAGTGATCACATAAAATCTACTGTTTTGAAATCTTACCTAAAAAGTTTGATGCAGCCTTAGTGGAATATTATCGGTATAAACACCTTAAATCCTATTACATAGCTTTAACTAGACCACTGAAATGTTTGGGGTCTTAGATTCCCTACCAGCAAAGCCTGGGAAGGAGAATCATGTGCACATGAATTACTGAGGGCAGACACTCAGGAGAAATCTCTAAGGGAGAAGGGTAAGCAGGACAGGGCACAGGAAGAAGGTTGTATCTTCAGCTGAAGTCTGGTCTCAGCCTGGTCCTATAGGAGTTTTTTAATCTAAATGCACTCAGGAGTCCTCGACCAGTAGTCAAGGAGGCTGGGCTGTTGTGACCCACACAAGATAGTTGAGAGCTTCAGTGGTTTTACAAAACCTTCCAGGCATTTCCAGGCAAGGGAATCCCATGGACTCAGGACAATTTTCTGGAGAAGGAACAGCTATAATTCCCACTCAGCCAGCACTCTCAGCAGTTTGGGGATGAGCTAAAGGACCCATAATGGGGATCTGATCAAGCACAACAGAATCAACTACAGTGACTTTTTTTTTAATCTTTGTTTTTCAACACTTGTTATATCAGTCAACTAACTCCCAACTCTATTCCCAATTTTATCATCACAAAACATTTTTAAAACCTTCTTTTACCAAAACGATTCTTAGCACATAAGCAATATGCTGTTGAGTGCAGCATGAATTTAATACACAGGAAAAAATGATATCAGACCATGGTAGAAGAGGATGCTGCCACAGGAACTTAGAATAATAATATACTAAGTCATCCTGCTGAGTAAGGCTAGGCCAGGTGTCTTCATGGCAACCATAGCTGCAGAAGAATCCCTAACAGGTTCTGTTTGCAGATTTTCATCTGAGGCAAACAAAAAGAATATGCACTCTGTACTAGAACTGATTTCCATTAGACTCTCAAAGGCCAGATATGGTGCATTCCAAAAACACCCACATCAAGTCTCAGATTCTTCTGTTCCAGTTTGACTCATTTTAAACAAGATTTGAGTATCCAGGGTAAGGATAGGAAGGCCACAGAAGGAGAGTTTTGGCTGAGAGAAATGAGCTACGAACTCTATAACATTTTAGGTTGCAACATAATGGGAATGCTGGTTCCTTTGCCTGATCTCTTGAGTCCCATGTCACGAGCTACCTCTCTGCTTTGTGGAAGACCAAGAAGAGGCAGAATATGGCTAAGAGCTCCCTGTCTAGGTCTCAGTTCTCCTGTGTGTAAAACGAACAGACAGGATTTGGAAGACAGGGGAGCTTCATCCAAATACTAGGAGTTTGATCCAGACTGACTAGACTTTGGCTTTTGGCTTTGGTCTTGGTTCCAACGAAATGTGATGAACAGAAAGTTGCTCCTGCGTACACCTCCTTCAGCCACATTTCGCACAGTCAGAGAAAGATATAAGTTTCTTGAAAACACTTCAATCCCCACGGGTGATTAAATTAGGAAGTACATCCACCTTCTACAGAAGAAGAGTTGATGCCTGTTCAGTTCTATCTATGTCCCAGGAGCAGCCTGACCAATACATCTTGATGATAATGGAAATGCCTTCTTTGTGAGGTGTCGATGGAGAGCCACCAGCTACACGTGGCTCTTGAGTTCTTAGTGTAACTAAGGAACTCAGGCTTAATTTGAAAGCTTAATTTATCAAATGCATTTGCAAAGCCACGTGTGGCTGCAGGCTTCTGTCTTACATGGAGCAAAACTGTAGGATTCCCTGATAGGTCGGGCAGCACATTTTGGGCTCCAAAGATTCTGGCCAGTTGAAATTTCACTGCATAAATATTTTGCTTTCACCAACATCACTCTGTAAGAATAACTTGCTTTTTTTCAGACTCTAATTCAGAAAGTAAACAGGAGCTTAGTTTTCCTAATCTGTTGTTCCCAGTACAGTTACTGCATGTGTGGGAGAGGCAATTGAGAACTTCCCAATTGCTCACCTTCAGAGGTGTCTGCAGCAAGAGCTGTCCACTCTGCCCACACGCCAAGACTGTTCCCACCACTACTTCCTCAGAGCCCTGTATCACCAGGTTCCGCTCTTGCATCTTCCTTCTGTTTCTCTTCAGTATTGCCTACAAACATGCTACTGTCCACCCAAACAAATATTTTATGTCTCAAGTCACCACCTTTTTCCAGACAGGTTTCCACTCTTTTTATCCACGCAAGTAGTCATAGCTTTTGTAGTTATAACTTCTCAGGATGAATTTCTACTCAGAACTAATTCTTATTATATAGATTTAACTTCTTTTCCTGCTTTTTTCCATTTATTCTACCTAAGTATTCTTATCCACGCCCAACTTCTTTCTGTCCCTCCTTCCTTCTGCAGACTTACCACAGATTTGCTGTCGCGCATTTCAGCCGGAATGTATCAATGACAGCTTGAACTCTAAAACGTCTAAGACCAAATTCATCTCCTTCACCGAAGCAGTTCCTCCTCTTGGCTCCTCTCTCCTCCCCTCAGTACCCATCTCTGGGACCTTACTTTGACGTCTCTGAGTTAGTCCTGGTCCTTTCCCCCCAAACCCTTATCCAAGTTATCAGTTATTTACAGTCTTTCTTCTTTTTCTTCTTTCCCATTGACTACTCTCAGCTTCCTAGACCCCTCTGACCATTGTTATTTCTCTATCAACCATTTGTTTCTTCAGAAAGCTAGCTCCCTGCTAGACACAGTTCCGAGGCACACCAAAGAAGAGATTCAGTCTCATCTGCAGGGACCTCTCCCTCTGGTTAGCACTCTATAGATATGAGGCATTAAGTGCTATAATAGAGACACGAATACCATAATTTTTAATGGCCCTTAGCATCTCTCCTTTCTTAAAGTTCTTCATTGATTGCTGCTCCCCATCACCTTCTTCAGTTGATCACTGAGTCCTTTTCAAATCAGGGAAGGTGAAATACTAGACACTACCAATGAGCCTTCCAGATCCTCTCCCTACACCTAGGTGCTTCTCGTGATGCTTCCTCCTAGGCTGGCTTTCTGGACTGCTGCACTCCTCTCCTATTGGCCAGGTCAGGCCACACCAATTACTATCTTTCTCTTGAGTCTTCTCCGGGAACCTTGCTGGAAAGCGGCCCTCTTCTCCGTCTTGAGTAGCGGGCCCCCACTGCATTCTGCATGAGTGGACACTTGTGGGGTCCTGTCCTTTTCCCTCAGCCGCATCTTACGTAGCCCAGGTACATAGGAGCATCTAGGACAGTAGAACCTACAACTGTGACTTTAAGTATGCTTGCAGTCTTCTGATTAAATGCCAAAATGAAATCATGTGCAGGTCATCTTTGTTATGGCCTCTGTGGAAAAGATTAGAGGGGAAGTCATAGCTGCTTGGCTTGTTCAAAATGTAGCCTTGCTTGGAACCAAGATTGAGGAACATATCCTTCTAGAATTAGGATTTCACTTGTCCTCTGTAAACTGGTCACACTGCACTGTTTTCAGACCACTTAACATACTTTAATCACTACAGTCTTTATGTACTAGAGGGTGTGAGACAAGAACACCCTCTCTTACACCACTCAACACAACTCTTTTGTTTTCCATCATCCATCTTTGTCTAAGAGCTAATGTTAATAATGAACAGAACTGGTGTGGAATGCCCAAAATCTGTCATAAACTAGCTCCATGTTCTTTTCAGGAAGGAACAGACAAACATCTGCAGGGCTAGTATCAGTTGCACTACTTTTATTGTCTAATTTTCTAATTTGTTTCACAAAGCTCAATGCACACTTAGTTTCCTGCTAAATTACTATGCTGCTCTCGTTTCAGAAAACCTGTCATTTATTACCTTAAACTACAGCCCTTTGTGTACCTAGTGTATGAACAACTTATTTTCCTTCTAGCTAATACATTGAACTCATATACAAATAGGAACTATATATATGGGGTGATAAATCATCAGGAGAAAAAGAAACTCATTAAATTTAGAAGAGTACATAATTCATGATCAAGGAAGATTTAAAATGTATTGTATTATCAGTATAGGATAGGTACCACTCAATCAGGAAGGATGCCTGGCCAAAGAGAATGGAAGCCAACTTTAAATAAGAAGCAAAATTGTTTCTGCACATTTTGGCAACATACAAGCACATGGGACACGTCATTCTGTGTCATGACACCTCTAAGATCTCCTGTTTCATCCACAAGTGATGAATGGCCTTCAAGTGCTCATCTTAAAATTTTACAAATAAACAAATCAATGTATAAAATATAAATCATGGATACTAAGTATTTATGTAAAGTGGGGAATTATCAATAATTGCCAAGACAGGGATTTAGGAATATTCAGGTGGTCATGACTGTTGGTTTACCTGCTCTCTGCCTGTCCAGATAGAGTCAGTCCATACGACAGTGTTTCAGAAGACAGTGGGGATGACTTAGCTACTAACATCGCTAGGTGAGAGATTTTCTTCTGCACAAGTCACTGAATTTAAATATTTCCTAAAACGGTGGCTATTGTACACCATGAAACTAAATGCAGAGACTCTAGCAGATGAAATACGCATTTTGACTCTACGAAAAACCCAAAGAAATTAAGCCATTTGTCAAATCCACAAGCAAATATGCTGACTTTGAATTTTAGAGCACAGGAAAATTGGAAAAATTACTATAATTCTTTTTAAAAATTAATATTATTGGTACATTTAAGGTATAAAATATAATGACATTCACCACTGGAAATTTGGACCTTTCCATAATCCATCTTGGTTCTTATTTTTTACCCATTGCCCTGCCCTCTCTTCCACCCTCCATCTCTCTCTATTTACAAAGACTTTGTTTCCATTTTTTCATTTTCTCATATTAATTTCATTCCCTTCTTTCCTTTCCCTTACCCTGCCCATTTCCTCTTCCCCTTTACCCCTTTTCTTCCTATGTAACATTATCTAGTATACCTTTTAGTCCTTATTTATACTTCCAG